AGGGGCCACGAAACGCGCGAGAAGTGTTCCGACATGGGCGGGGAGACGCATGCGAGCACTGCCGCTGGGGCCTCCCGTAAAACTCCCCAGGCAGCCACGAAACGTGTCAGGGGTGTGACGACATGGACGGGGTGCGCATGCGAGTACTGCCACTGGGGCGTCAGGGGTGTGACGACATGGGCGGGGAGACTCATGTGAGCATTGCCACTGGGGCCTTCGGTAGAGCTCCCCGTGGGGCCACGAAACGCATGAGGGATATCCAGAAATGGGCGGGTGGACGCATGTGCCGGTTGCCACTGAGGCCTTCGCTAGAGCTCCCTGATTGGGCCACGAAACTCGTGAGAGGTGTGCCGAACTGGTTGGGGAGACGCATGTTGCCATTGCCACTGGGGCCGTCGGTAGAGCTCCCTATGGGGCCACGAAGCGCGTGAGAGGTGTGCCGAAATTGTTAGGGGGGACGCATGTGGCCCACTGGGGCCTTCGGTAGAGCCCGCTTATGAGGCCACGAGAGGTGTACCGAAATGGTCGAGAGGGCGCATGTGATTTCTGCCAGTGGGGCCTTCGGTGGAGCTCCCTATGGGGCCACGAAACGCGTGAGGAGTGTGCCGAAACGGGCGGGGGGACGCATGTGGCCACTGCCACTTGGGCCTTCGGTGGAACTCCCCATGGGACCGGCCACAAACCCGCGAGGGATGTGCCGAAATCGGTGGGGGGGGCCACTGCTGGTGTGGTCTTCGGTAACGGGGCCACGACACGTGTGCGGACTGCGCAAAAAAAACAAAGACGTGCGGAGGGCAGAGGCAGGGGCGGGAGGAGGGAGGGTGGCAGCAGGAGGAGTGGACGCGGGGCGCCGTCTCTTCAGAACATGGGCCCAACACCCAAGGAGGGTTAGGAATTAAAGTGCAGAAAGACATCTGCACGGCTTGGAACATATTGCGGGTCCCGGATTTCTCGCTTCAATGTGATCGCAATAGGGCCTCGGAGGAGCCAAAGAGAGACCAAAAAGAGCCCAGTGAGGGCCTCACTAAGACGACCCAAGAGGGGTCCAGCACAGTCCAAAAGGGACCTAAGATGGCCTAAGAGGCTCCCAAGACAGTCCAAGACTCCCCAGACCGTCAAGAGGGACCAGAGACGACCAATGACGGCACCAAGATAATCCCTCGGGGAACTGCTAATCGGCCTGACGATGTTCCGGGACATGTGCGACCGCGGGTCGGGACTTGATAGGGGACGGGACGGGATGTAGTTACATCCTGAGCTAACCATGCGATATTGAAAAGATACCCAGATACCGCTATGACCCGTCACGTCCAAGCAGCGCATCTTCAGTAGGAGTCTAAGAGGAGATGTTGAGACTCACCAAAGCATAATCAACATGATGGTCGTGACCATTATCATCATCATCAAGATGGCCAGCTTGGTCATGATCATCATGGCGATGATCACCATCCATCATGACCATCATCATCACATAGACGGCCGCCGTCGCCGTGGCATTGGACGCGAGAAATACGGCCGTGGCAGACACCGACAACAAACCATCATGGCCAAAAAGCTGGACACGTGAACGAGCGCCGCCTCACGCGCGCCCAGCCCCATCTGCCCCGCGCGACGCCCATCTGCACAACGAAAAATCTTGACAACCACCGCAACAATAGAGACGAGAGGTGACACGTGTCACGGCTCTCCGGGAGGTGCTCGAAGCGTGGCCACAGAGTGCTTCGCTGGCACGGTGGCGGGAATTGCCCCAGGCAGCTGGATAGTTCAGGAGTGTATCTCAAGGGAGGAGGGGGAGCTGAAGGATTGTAGAGCGAGGGGTACTGGGAGGGATGGGGGCAAAGAGGGGGGTGGGGGGGGGAAGGGGGAGGAGGGAGGAGGGAGGAAGGCCACAGGAAGGTGAGAGGTGGGGCGCCAGGAGGGATGTGGGAGAGGAAGGGGGGGAGGGGGGAGGGCGGGAGGGGGGAAGGAGGGGCAGGGCCAGAGGGAGGGGAGGGGGAGGGAGGGGAGGGAGGGGAGGGGAGGGGAGGGGGCGCGGCGCCTCTTGGTCCCCGCCCCTTCCCCGCCCCAAGGGGCTCCCAGGGCGGAGCGGCGCAAGCCCCCCGCGGATACGTCTGCGAGGTGGCTCCCGAGGTGCTCTCCTGCGCCCGTGCCCGGCGGGGGGGGCGGGGCGGCGGAGGGGGACCCATGGAGAGGAAGCATGTTTCACCAGCCTCGAACGTATCCCTATCCCTAAGATTGACACGCCAAAAGGCGATGACAATCTTAAGGATCCGCCCTCAAAAATAAGGGAATCCCTAAGATTGGCATCGTGATGAGGAGATGCCCAGCATAGGGATAGGGATATGTTCCAGGCTGGTAAGATCCATGGAGAGGAAGCACGCTGCCGAATACTTCCCCGGTGTCTAACACATGCGTTAGACATGTTCTAAACATTAAAGGAGCATGTGTTAAACATGAGTTTAACATGCTTTAAACATGCTTTAAACGTGTCTGACACCTCTGTTAAACAGGCTTTACACATGTAAAGGAGCAAATGTAAAACATCTTCAGAGCATGTTTGTCCTACATGTTCAACTCATGTTAGATTTCAGCGCCAGGACTGTCAGGGTGTCCATTGTCGTGGCATCCACAAGCCTCGTGGGGCCGCAGCTTCTGGGAGGTCCTCGCAGGAACGATGGCAGGGCGACTGGGCCCGTCGTGCACCCTTCTGTGAGTGCTGCTGGCGTGCCGTCTGCAGTCGGACTTCGTTGGACAGGACACGCGAGAGGACCAAAGACCCTTCCGGGGGCCACATCGCCATAGGCATGCAGGAGGCACGGGTCGCGAGGCACAGGACACAAGCGTACCCTTGAGCTGGCAAGGTCGACCTACTAATCCGGGCCGACTGTACTGCGCACTCCGTGCTGTGTATCCGTTCGGTGTGCAAAGAGAAACGCTGCAGCCCTTGTTTGCAGGCGAAGGTGGAGGAGACGGGGGCGGGGGACGAGAAGGACGACAACGACGACGACGACGACGACGGCGACGACGGCGGCGGAGGCGACGACGGCGGCGGCGGAAACGACGGCGACTACGAGGATAAGAGGCAGTGGCGGAGACAACGAAGAGGACGAGGAGGACAAAGATGGCGGCGACGACAACAGGTGGACGGGGGGGGATGGACAGGGGGTGCCGAGTTGGACCAGCCAGTCGAGGGCGGCAGGGCGGAAGGGGAGAGAGGGAAGTGCAGCGAGGCCGAGCAGAAGAGCAAGAGAACGGCGGATCCGAGGAAGGAAGGAGAAAAGGGGGGAACGGGAACCCAGCGATTACCAGCCTGGAACATATCCCTATCCCTATGCTGGGCACCTCCTCATTACGATGCCAATCTTAGGGATTCCCTTATTTTTTGAGGGCGAATCCCTAAGATTGTCATCGCCTTTTGGCGTGTCAATCTTAGGGATAGGGATACGTTCGAGGCTGGTAAAGCGAGCAGAACCCAGCGGAGAGGCGGGCCCGGTTCCTGGATGATCCGCTTCGCCTCCGCAATGGCCTCGGAGGGGTGGAGCTCCCGAGCCCCCAGATGCAGTGCGTGGCGACGGAGGCAGAGGAAGGGAAGAAGCGCACGCGTGCGCTGTGCGTGCAATGATCACCGCTCAGCGAACACAGGCTGAGCCTATGCTAGACGAAAGGGGCCCTCAACCTAACGGGGGCAGAACATGGTAGCAATGCGGAGCGGATTCGAATGGTTGACATGTTGCTGGCATCATGCCCTCATCCTTTACCACCTACCTTCATCTGTCTCCTTCCCTCCCTTTCTCCCCATCCCTCTCTGCTCTCCCCCTCCTTCCAGCAGCTGCGGAAGCCGATCTGAGCGACCGATGGATCTGACTACAGAGACAGCGATCGTCTGCGCTGCAACATCGAGCTCAGCTCATCCGCGCACCCGCATGGCGTGAGCAGGGACCGACCGTCCCGGCAATCCGATAGTCCTACCACGAAATGTTCTCAGAACCCCCAAATGTTCTAACAACAAAAGCAATGTTCTTAGAACACAGACCCGATGTGATAAAACAGGACAGACTCCGCCAGAAATGTTCTAAGAACATCTTGTGGAAACCACAAAAAAGTTCTTAGAGCGTTGTTCCGTAGGGCTATAGGCGAGCCAGGACGCTTCGCCAATGCTTGAGTGGCAACGAACGCTGCATGGTCGTGCGCCCACCTCCTTGGCCCTCCTTGGACCTGTAAGCGCCTCCTTGACCCTGTAAGCGCCTCCGTGCCCCAGGCGGGCAGGAGGAACAGCACTGGAGGAGCCTAAGGAACATCGAGCCCCTCCCGAACCCAAACTGTCTCTTAGTTCAGCGTCTTGACTGTGTGCCCACCTCTTGATGAGCCGCTAACGGCAACACCAACCACAGCATTTTGCTTCGACCGGTACTCCGCCACCGGGTTCATGGAAAAAGCGCTACTTTGCATGAACTTCGGCTTCGGCACCGCCTGTATCCGAGGCTGTGCCTCCTCCCGGCCTCGTTCTGAGGCTGCGCCCCCCTTTTCCTCCCTCCTCTTCTCTGCCTAATTCAAGCGTCGCGCGGCCCGCTTGGCCTCGACCGGAAGAGGTGCGCTCTCGACCCACGGATCAAAAAGACTGTGTTTACCAGCCTGGAACGTATCCCTATCCCTAAGACTGACACGCCAAAAGGCGATGACAATCTTAGGGATGCGCCCTCAAAAAATAAGGGGATCCCCAAGATTGGCATCGTGATGAGGAGGTGCCCCGCATAGGGATAGGGATATGCTCCAGGCTGGTCATGTGCGCCCACCTCCCGAGCCGCCCTGGCGCACGGCCTTCAGCTCCTCCCCGCGGCTCTTCTGCTCGGCCTCGAAGGCCTCCGCCTGCGCCCGCTGAGCACGCCCCGGCGCGCGCCGGGCGGCGGGAAGGGGGGGGCGGGGCAAAGGGCGGCGGGAGGGCGGAAGAGACAGCGCAGGCGACCTCTCCTCTGTTCCCCCTTCACCGAGGCCAGACGAGGAGACCAGGAGGAGGAGGAGGAAGAGGAGGAGGAGGAGGAGGAGGAGGAGAAAAGAAGAAGGAGGAGAAGAAGAAGGAGAAGAAGAAGGAGAAGAAGAAGAAGGAGAAGAAGAAGAAGAAGAAGGAGTCGCAACGGCGAGGGGGGGGATCGAAGGGGCAGCATGAGCAGCAGAAGCAGCAGCAAAAGCAGCAGGGCGAGCCAGAGCAGGAGAAGGAGGGGGGGCAGCTGGGGGAGGAGGCCGGCGCGCCCCAGCGGAGCCTCGCCGAAGGCGGGAGCGGGAAGCGGGGGGAGGAAGGGCGGAGAGGGAGCGGGAGGGGGGGAGGATGAGAGACAGAACGGGTCGGGACCGAGAGAAGCTGCAGCAGGAGCAAGAGCGGGAGGAGGAGGAGGAGGAGGACGACGACGAGGAGGAGGAGGACCAGCGTGCACCCAAGACCCATCAGCGATAGTACGAAAAAAACTCTCCCTCCAAGCCCCTTCTGAATAAGCCCATACAAAGGTTTTCCATTTTGGGAAATGCCCCCGCCCTCCAACCGTAAAACTCTTGCATGAAATTATACGAATGGGTGCGGGCTACATCGAAAACCGCATTGTGAAAACCACCCGCCCTCAATCCGTGAAACTCTCGCGCTTTTTTGAAACGGACGTACGCGGTACTGAGGCGAGAACCGGATTTTGAAATCCACCCGCCCTCCATCCGTGAAGCTCTCGCAAAATGTGAAGCCGAATGTGCGCAACGCTAAAGCGAGAACCACATTTTGAAAACGGCCATCCGTGAAACTCCTGTTTTTGCTTAACGAATGTGCGCGACGCTAAATCGAGAGCAACATTTTGAAAACGGCCCGCCTTCCATCCATGAAACTCTTGCATGTATTGACGAATGGGCGCGGCGCTAAGGCGAGAGCCGCGTTTTGAAAACCGCACGCCTTCCATTCATGAAACTCTTGCCACTTTTTTACGACGAAAGCGCGCGAAAAACGCCTGCCCTCCATCCGAAAACTTCTTGCTCTTGCAAATTTGAAGCGTCAGGATAGCACATGGTGAAAAATAGCAAGCGAAACGCCGGGCCCGCTCTTTCGACCAGCCTCGGGGTGCGACAGGGACAAGTTATTCATAACGAAGAGGGACGGACAGACGGCGCCAGCCGAAGAGGGAAGGGAAAGAGCGCAGGAGGGAAGGCAAGGGCGGGAGCCGTCATCGGGTGGGCTCTGGCGGTACCTCGGGTGAGCGACCGACGAGCGGCACAAAAGCCTCGCTGGTTGTGAGAAAATGTTGTCTTATCGCGGCCATCGCACTAAACATTCGAGCGATGGATCGGAGATTTATGCCGCAACCCGTGGAACACGATAGAAGCAACGCTAACGTGCAAAAGCATGAATACAGATGAATTTAAGTGCATCGTCTTGGGAAGGGGCTGTGGACCCAAAAATCGGACTCGGCACGGGCTTTCCCCATGGCTGAAGGCAGATGGAAGAGCGGGGAAGAAGATGGAGGTCAAAGCGAACACAGAGCACTCCAGCATATGCCTCATGCTGTCGGACCGCTGGGCTAACATGGCAAGCATTAGATACCGTCGTAAGCTACCGCCGTGTAGCAATGCATGGGGTTCTTGCTTACAGCGATGAATACTGCACTGAACAATCGTACATGGTGGGGTCGAGAAGCCTCAAGTTCTTGGACCGACGGGCGTCGAACACCAACATGTCGGACAATAAAGACTAGCACGTGACCTACCGAAATAGTGTAGAGCCTGACCCGGATTCACGCTGCACGTTGTGTCCTTCGGGCAGTGGCTGCGGAACCTGAGCTGGGCGAACAGACTTGTCCCAAACCTGCCCGAAACTCTGAGATAGATGCACTCAAGATCCCCCCCGAACTGGTTGAACAACAAGTCCACCAGAGCAAAGTCCGCCGATCCGGCGTGTGAACTACAAGGAGCCTCAACAAGAGCTTCAGTTCTGAGCCTAAGCAAGAGCTTCAGCTCTGCTTGGGGGGGGTCGCCGGGGTGGCTTTTCCGGGGAGGGGGGGGGCGGGGGGGCGGCGGGGGGGGGCGGTCCCCCAGCTGGCGTTTTCTTAATGCGTTGCGCATTCCCCTCAGATCTAGCCGCTGCCGCCCCCAGGACTCTCCCCGGTCGGGGGGGGGGGGGGGGCGGTCCCCCATCTGGCTTTTTCTTAATGATTTGCGCATCCCCAAGATGTTTCGGGGGGTCCCAGGGACCCCCCCGGATCTAGCCGCTGCCGCCCCCAAGACCCTCCCCTCGGAACCCTCCCCTGGCCCTCCCCAGGACCGCTCCAGGCACTCCCCCAGAGGGCACGTCAGCTCCAAAAGACGTCCCCGACGACTCCAAGAGCGCCCTCCGTCCCAAACAAGGCACGTCAGCTCCAAAAAGCGTCCCCGACGACCCCGAGAGCGCAGGGGTCAGCGGGAGGCAGAGGATCACAAATGCCAGCCCCACGCGCCGTGGGAGGGCAGAGGGATACCGAGGCCCGCTCCGCGGCCCAGGGGAACGCAACTCCCCAGATATGGGGTGCGGCGCCCCGAGCGTCGCCCCGACGCGCGCGTCGCAGCCACGCCCGGGACGCCAGGGGCGCGAAGAACCCCCAGGGCGCGGGCGGGCGGGACAAAACGCGGCACGCGGCCTCGCATGGGCAGCGTGCACGCCACGGGCCTCGCGGGGCCCCCTCCCCAGAGAGGCGAACCCACAGCGCGCGCAACCGCGCGCATGGACGGGCCTCTCGAGGCCGCCCCAACGCCACCCGCAGCACGGTGCGGTGGCCCAGCGCAGCGGGACAAGTGCCCGCCAGCTTCACAACATCGGCCAACAGGCCAGCGGCCGCACATGGGCGGACCGCGGACAAGAGAATGCAGGAGCGCAGAAGCGGCAGCCGCACAGGCAGAGCAGCACCAGCATCCCTCCCCCACCCACGGCCCTGCACCCCGACCCCCCCCCGTCCCGAGGCCGAGGAGAAGGCAGAGGAGCAGGGCAGACGCAGGAGAGGCATTCGTGCAAGCCCACAGACGCAGCGACAGTGCGAGCACTGTCCCCGAGCTTGTGGGCTCATAACGAGAACTAGGGAGAAGAAAGAGGACCGGATGAATCGAGGAGGGAAGAGGCCACAGAGCCGCGAAGATCACCGATTCCGGAGCCCCCCGGATCGGCGGCACTGGCTGGAGGCCATTACAATAGGAGGAGCTCCACCATGCCACCCTATACGTGGACGCACAAGCTGTGCAGGCCAAGTCACGTGACGAGGCAGGGAGGACAAAGTACGAGTTGCTCGAGTACGGAGACGCAGCAGCGGTTGCGAGGGCCGCTTGCGACACACCCCAAGGCACGAGACTCCACTTCCAGAGCCGCCCAGGGCAGGACGCTACAGGTGTGCCACACGGGTGAGAACGCAAAGGTCGACCATGTTGTGACGTACTGTGAAAGTTAGAAGGGCCCAGTTCCAAGCATGCGTAGAGCGCACACGCGACAGGAACTGCAGCAAGAGATATGTTCATTACAAGATGGGCATGGCCCTGGGCGCTAAGGATGAGAAGCGGGATCGGGATCAGGAGCAAGAGGAAGGAGAATAAAGATGAGGGAGGGGGGGCACCTCCTCCTCCTCCTCCTCATCATCATCATCCTCCTCCGCCTCCTCCTCCGCCTCCTGCTTCTCATCATCCTCCTCATCATCATCATCATCAGCAGCAGCAGCTTCATCAGCAGCAGCATCATCAGCATCATCAGCATCATTATCACCATCACCATCATCATTATCATCATCATCATCATCACCATCACCACCACCACCACCACCACCATCATCATCATCATCATCATCATCATAATCATCATCACCATCATCAGCAGCATCATTAGCATCAACGTTATCGTCATCATAATCATCAGTATCAGCATCGTCCTCATCATCATTCTCATCATCAGCAGCAACATCAGCATCATCGTCATCACCACATGCATCTTCAGATTCGTCCCCATCATCACCACCAACAACATAAGTATCATCAGCATCCTCATCCGCCTCATCATCATCACCAGTATCAGCATCATCATGATCAGCATCGTCATCATCATCAGCAATATCATCATCCTTGGCATCCTCCTCATCGTCACCATGATCATCAGCAACATCAGTATCATAATCACCGGCATCATCATCGTCCTCCTGATATTCATCATCGTCATCATCAGCAGCAGCATCGTCATAAGCATCGTCGTCATCATCATCACCATCAGCATCGTCATCATCGTCAGCATCATCATCCTAACCAGATTCCTCCTCATCATCGCCATCCCACCCTTCCATCCCCTTTCTCCACTCCATCTCATCCTGCTCCCACTTACTCCCCGTGCCTATCTGCCCTTGCGCCACCCTCCTCGTCCCCCTTCATCGCGCTCTGTTGCTGGTCGGCCGTGTTGGCAAGCACTGATGGACGGCGCATGCTGGTTTCGTTGAGCTTCCTTCCAGGCACGAAGGCTGCGCACAGTACAAGCGCGGGCGAGATAACTCGCAACGTGAGACTAGCGGGTTCACTTAATTGAGCGCAGCGTAGCTTGCCGCGGAAGAGGGAACGTCGAATTACACGCTGGGTGTGACGGGGGGGGATAAGAAAGACAGTGTAGGAATTAAGAGAGAGAGAGAGGGATAGATACAAAGACAAAGACAGAGACAGAAAGCCCATGGTCACGAGCAAAGAACCTGTGCAAATCCGTGCCCTCGCGGTCTGGATTCCGAGGCGCGGTCCAACGGATACGCGATCCCATGGACACGCTCCGCGCGGGGTGGTCGCGCCAAGCTACCCTGTACCCATGCAGTCGCGGCCAAGGAGTCCCAGCCGCGAGGCCGTGGATGCGGATATG